GTATAATAAAAATTATGAAAATGAGATAGAACATAACAATGTCCTCTTTTAAAATTAATATACTCTATAATTGTATTTAAATGTTAACTCAAAGCTAGTTTCTTTTATACTTTGTGAATTATTTTTTATGTTTAAAAATTAACTTATTTGTTAATGTTACTATGAAACTAAGATATTTTTTAAGAGTTGTTGCTAAAACACTGAAACTGTTAAAAGATTTGCTTGTTTCGATGATTAAAGATTTGTAAATTGTATTTAATTTAAATATCAACAACAATTTTTAAATGAGAAAAACTTACTGACATTGAAAATTCTGATAACAACTTTAAGAAAAATATTTATATGCAATTTCTTTAAATTTAACCGCCTTTATCACTGTATAACAATGTTTTTTATTTGAATTATATCAATTGTAATTAAGATTAAATAAGATAAATTATTCTCATACCTGGCTCTTTATGCATAGGCCTTGGTCTTGAACCACCTCTCCCTCTCCCCCTTCCTCGTTTATAAACAGATCCGTCACGTTCTAATTTCTCCAATTTTGCTGATGAATTTCTTTCATTGTTTTTTTTATAAAATGTCTGAAAATATAATACAGTAAGATACACTTACAAGTATATATGTATGGAAATTGATGCACATGACAAATAGAAAGAAAATTCAAATAAAATATTTCTAATATTTATGAAAATCTACTTCTAACTTAACCTGATGTATTGTTACATCAATATTATAACAGATTTTTACAGATGTTCCTGCACGTTAAAACTGCTATCTTTCTGAATATTAATATGTGTGTATCACTATATATTTTGTATAGCACCAGTTACCGGAATCGACAAGTATGAATACGCTACAGCAGTGTTCTATCATTTTACAGTTCTTACATCGACTGATAGCATGGTCTCCTTCTTTTCATGTATACCCATTGTCATGGGTATAGACTTCACATCCTTGGGTAATTTTCTTTTACACCGTAAACACCGATTGAAGTCGATTGAACTGAAGCCACAGTGTGAACAGACAGCAAGCATTCCCTCAATGCACATAGGCTCCTAGTTCCATACAAAACTTATTGTAGATACTGTTCATAAATGAGTTATGATACTACAATCTTTCAATTTAAAACAATTTTATGTAGAAAAGTATGGGAATTATAAAATAAATGTGAATTATTTACAAACACCCTACAATTCTAATGTATAGAATACATTAGACCAGAGTAGCCAGGAAAAAGTCTCTGTTTCCGTAATTAGGAGGAATGGGAGAAGGTGGAAAGCTGCACCTTCTCTCATTCCTTCTAATGAGGAATTTTCCTAAAGGAAAAAAGGACTTTTCCTGTTGGACTATGTTTTATAGGCTGATTCAACATATCAAAATAAAACGATAATCAAATAACTATTTTATTGGAAAACTCTATTAGTTCGAAGATGGAATTTCTAGCACAATTTTATTACTTTTTATTTTTGTTAGAATTTGGTTCGTAAAATCATCCCCTAAGAGAATGATTACATGGTAGGTAAACAACATGGGTACTAATGTTAATATGATTTTAATATGATATTAATTGTCATCTTAGTTACTAACTAAATTAGATAACGTTCGACATTTACGAACAATAATCCAAATGAAATCAAATGTTTATCATGTCATTTCCATGAGTTAATATCGTGAATACATAATAATAATAACGATAATAATAATAATAATAATAATAGCAAAAGAAAAATATAAACACTTTTAATGATATACTCTATTATTACGACAGTACAGTAAATTCTCACTGATTGACCCTCAACTTGGAAACAAAAATGGATACTTTGGGAAGAGGAGGTACGTTTATTTAAGCCTTGCGGCTCGTTTTTATAGTTGCTGACAATCGGTAACTATAAAAACGAGCCGCAAAGCTCGAATAAAAATGGCTCCTCTTCCCAAATTGTCCATTTTTGTGTACAAGCTGAGGACCAATTAGGGAGAACTTACTTATGACAGTATCTTTTATTGTTACGTTTTATTTTTAATAATGATTTTTTTAGTTTCTACAGATATGATTGAGTGGCATGTTTGTACTATTTACAAATCATTGTTATTC